GTTGGGGTTGTTCAGCCTAGAGAGGAGAAGGATCAAGAGTGGGCTCAGAGCAGCCTTCCAGTACTTAAAGGGGACCTGCACAAAGATGGGGAGGCACTCTTTATCAGGGAGTGTTGTGATAGGATGAGGAGTAATGGTTTTAAGCTGAAAGAGGATAGATTTAGATGAGATATTAGGAATAAATTTTTTACTGTGAGGGTGATAAGACACTGGAACAGGTTGCCCAGAGAGGCTGTGGATGCCCCATCCCTGGAGGTGTTCAAGGCCAGGCTGGGTGGGGCTTTCAACAAACTGGTCTAGTGGAAGGTGTCCCTGCGGGTTGGAACTCGATGATCTTTAAGGTCCCTTCCAACCCAAACCATTCTGTGATTCTATTAAGATTTCAGTGTCTGTACCTCAGAAAAATTTTGATAAATTAAATATTTTCATCTGGAGGTGAAATATTTTAATCTTCAGCTTGAAGAAATACAGATGGGGAATGTGCTCCTAGATTAGATGTTTTAGAGAAAAAACAATAAGGGATTCACTGCTAAATTGCTGCTAGTATCACCGATTGTTATCAATTGGCCTTAGATGGCTTTGCTGTAGGGTGTGTGCTGAACAGGCTGAAGCCCAAGAAGACAAGATCTGTGTGACTCCTGGAAAAATGTCTTTGGACCATGACAAAACTGGGAGCTATCCTATCCCAAAAAAAAAAAAAAAAAAAAAGGATAATTAGGGACTTGTAGGTATGAGTTACCAGATGTCATAAGGTTCAGTGATTTGTCCTGGCATCCATGCTCTATCTCTGCTCATTTATGACAACAAGATTTCATGAGGCCCTATGAAGAGGGGATCTTGCATAATATGTCTTTGTGCATGTCATCTGATAACCTTACCAGGGAGAACAAATGGACTCACTGTAAAGCATCAGAGGAACAGGAAGGCTCTGATCTGTGGTGAAAGTGGGACAGATTAGGAGTTAGGTATCTGGCACAGCCTGGTGAAGTTGTCAGGGACATAAGCCTCTATGGTTCAGCTCACGTCATTATTACAACACAGATGCTTCTTGGACTATAATCATCCAAAAGATAAAAATGTCTGTACCTTCCTATCAGTGGCAGTGACAAAGCAGCAGACTGCTCACTCAAACATCATTGAACTTCCTGTCTGGGCCAGGGGCCACATAAATAATCCACCCTTTTTAGATACCTGTGACCATAACACTCCTGATGCAGGCAGCACTGAGCTCTTCCAGGACAGGCTTTGTCTCCCTCTTTAATCTGTTCTCCATTATCAGCAGACCCAGGAATGTCAGATCAGATTCTACCTCCTCCCTAAGAGTGAAGAACAGACAGACAGATTTAATTCTTCTTTTTGCCTTTGGCCTGTTTTAGCCTTGAATTTGCTGATAGCCAGTTATAACTGTTAAACATCCCACCTAACTCAAAAGAATGAAAATAACTGGTTAGTGTTCAGCAGTCCTGGATTGTCTGTCTTTTGTGGTGCTATTTCAATACCAGCAGGGCTTGCTTCCCACTGGCAGCAAGTGGTGCTTGTCGTGTAAGGGGAATCTTCACTTGATTTTTCATCCTTCTGTTCTCTTCCTCCCTCGTTCTGAAGAATGAGTTCAATACATAGCCAGCTTCCAGCTTATGTTTGCTTCATTACCAAACAACAACAACAACAAAAAAAAAGCAAATTTCGACCTATCTGCTCCACATACCAACATGAAGCCTGATTGATAAGTTGGACTGTTTTCCATTCATGCACCATCCTTAGCCAGCATGAAAAAGCACCCTGAATTTCCTGCATGATTCCCAAACTGTGGTGGTCTGATTTAGAAAGTTCATGCACAGTAGTTCTTTTCATTTGAGGACTGTACAATGAAGAAACACACCTTAGTAAATGTATCTGTTACTCTTGACAGTAGGACCTGAGCAAACAGCATAACGGAACTCCAATTCTGTTCTCTCCTGCTCTTTTCTTTACACCTGTGCTACTGCTTTTTTTTACAGTTGAACATATGCAGTTGAGAACAGAATTTGGTAAACAATCCCATACCTGAATCAAAATGAGATGTCTCTCAGGGAGACAGGTAGACCTGAACAGAGTCTGAAAAAAATAAAAGCTTTCAAACACTTATTTTAGCCACTGTAGTAAGGAGGAGGTGATGCCAAACACTTTCATGGCAGTCAGAATAGCTGAGTCAGGTGGTGCCTGAATAGTCACTGCTTTCACAGTGGATCTTGTGTTTGACTTCCACTCTTCCTTTTTCTCCTGTCAGTATATATATCACACATGCTATAACTGCACACACAACTGCAAAATCATATCACACATATCTGCTCATTGGGATGGATAGGTCTGTTATGACACCTGTCACAAGAATTAAACAAACCATTTCCACTTTGCCTCAGTGTCATTGGTCCTTTCAGCAGAGCAAAAAGCCCTGTGAGAGAGCAAGTGAGCCCCATCTGGATTAGGACCAGCAGCTAGTAAACAGAGAGAACAGCAGATGCTAAGTAACCGCAAATGTTTCAGAAGTGATGTTTCTGGAGTACCACAGGCAAAAGCTAGAGGGGTGTTCTTGTGTGAGGCTTGTGGAAAACTAATAGTAGAAGAGTCTGCTGGCTTCTCTAGAAACTAAAGAGAGCTAAAGCTAGAAAGCTAAAGGACTGGACCAAGACAGCAGAAGATAGCCTGCTGACTTTGACTGAGCTAGAGAACAGGCACAGTAATGGGGGTCATCTCCTGCCTTTGCTTAATGAAGGAGCCAGGGTAACAAAAAAAAGAGACTTCTCTTCAGCTGAGAGCCTGGATAAATCTTCAAGGAGACTGGTAAAAATGATGGACTTAGGGAGGGGTGTACTAGACTTCAGAGTGTACTAGAGTTATACTTCCTATGTCAATCCAAAGTTAAGAAATGTGCAAGGATTCTGGGGATGTACTATAAGCATGGGGTAGTAAAGTGCCCTCTACCCATTCTCAGACAGACCTATATGCAGATTTAAATCAGATTCCCTCTGGCCTGAATCTAACAAAACTCTGTACCACAGCCCTGCTCTTGGCAGGAGTGTTGTGGTAATGGTAGTATGTGAGGCACCATTAGCCCATGGCTGAATGTGGCTGATAAGAAGCAGTCTGTGGCTTACCTTGTTAGATCAGTAGACTGCTTCCCTGCCTGTAGAGATTTACATGCCAGTCCAATGACCCTAAAGCCCTGTGCTGTGTAGAGCAGAAGCTTGCTTTCAAAGTTTGACGGGACTGTGCAAAAGAAGAAAAGACAGTTCATCAGAGCATTTGACTGCTTTCTAATAAAAGGAGGCCTTGCATCAGGGAAGGTTCCTGTCCTAGAGGGCAAGCACGCCACGAGGCCAAGGCCATCAAGGAAAGCTGCTGAACTGAACTTTGCTCAATAAGAAAATCTTTGCCTCTCCTCTGTCACTTTGCACTGAGAATCCTAAACTGTTCTGCACAGACTTACCTTCTTCTGGTGTGTCATGAAGGAGCGGTGCTCTTCTAGCTGCCCCCTCAAGGCGTGGAGAAAAAAAAGACAACTTTTTTGGGGTATAATGGACCAGTAGACAACTTTTCCAAATATCTGTTCTGGCAGACACTATACACCTTGTACAAGAGTAGGTACTTGCTTTTATCTCTTAGCAGTCCTTCTTTGCTGAGAAGGGCTGTATGAGAGCTTAGCCCTAGACTTGAAGCACAACAGAGAGACTCTAACTCTTCAGGCTGAAGTATAAAGTCTCTGATTCAGAAATCTCATTTGGACCTTCCACTTCACTGCACCACCAGAAGCCACTTATACAAATGTGTTTCTAGGAAGCATTTATAAATGTTAGTTACCTGTTTCTGCTCTGCATAACATGGCTACCATTTCTGGAGCCCCTTTTGTGAAGACCTGTTGTTCCCCACCAATTTCCTGAGCAATGACAGACATCCTCTGCAAGGCTGAAGAAAATGGAAACTGACGTAAAATGACAACTCCTTCCACAGGGGCCTAGGAGAAAAGCAAGTGGATTAGATACTGAAGCAAGGATTTTAAACTCAGGACAAAGGATTTTAGGTCTGTCCTTTGGGCCATCACATGAAGCTAACCAAAGTGTAATGGGCTCACTTGTCACAGTAGGACAGAAAAGACTGGTATATAAAGAGGAGGTGAAATTTGTACAGAATTATTTAGCTTAAGCAGTAGGAAAAATTCACTGACAGTTTTAGCAGATTATTAGATACAATTTACTGAAAGGAACTCACTAGTTCTGTTTCTTTAACAAGACACTGCTAGGCCTTACACTGGTCTTGCAAAGGGAAAATGGATGTCTAAAAGTGCACCCGTCCTGCCTTAGTACATGTCACCAATAATGGTCTGACATCAGCTACCGGACTCCACTGCAGTCCCAAGTGCTCTTAGAGATCTTCACCACTCAGAGGAGTTTGGATTGAGTCTCAAGCCACCAGGACAGGCAAACTCCTGACTTGGCCAACTTGTCATCCAGCATCCCCCTGCTTCTGGTGTGAGCAGCAGCCGCCCCCAGGCATCTCTTTTTAATCAGAGAGAGTAACGCAATCTCTCTACAGGCAGTACAAGAAAGACGAAGTGTGGAAGAGCTCTCTCGGACTAGGATAAACAAGTGTTTCTCTACTGAAAGGTAACTCTCACACTGACAGTTTAACTTGATCATGAAGGTAAATCTTGCCAATAGCTTACACTGCTGGCTTTAGGCCCAGGTCTAACAACTGTGGCGTATGTGGATCCTTGACCTTCAATCTGGTGTCCACTGGAATCATCTATCACCTGTGTATTGAAAGACAAAAATCTATCACATCACAGCACCAGTAGAGCTGAAAGGAACCTCAGGAAATCATTTGGAGCTCTTCCTTCTCTCAAAACAAGATATCTTATTCATTACTGAGGGGCAGTCTGTCTGATCTCACACTAAAAAGCTCCAGTAATGGAAAATCTACTGCCTCTTTTGGCAATCAAATCCAGAGCTTCACCAGCTTCACTAAGATACTGCTCCACTCTTGCACAGCAAATAGATTATGTCCTCTCACTGACAATAAATCCTTTATTCATTCCAACCCACATAAACACGAGAAAATCTTTAGATATAGCACAGATCCAATGGGGAAATAATAAATAACAGTTTGTATTAATGTAAAAATCACCATCCTCTGCTCTTGAAGTATACCACAAATCAGCTGGGTTTTTTAATCATCACAACATGACTGTGAGGAACAAAAATATTTTATGGTGTCAAAGGGCACACAATTATTCACGTTTCACAGGAATAGTTTAAAAGGATTATTCATATTTAATTTATAACTTTGATGGGTGCCTGCTTAAGGCTGGGATGGCAAGGTGATGCCTATGGGGAAAAACATCCTCTAACTCCTGTCACTGCTGGATAGTTTATTCCTTGGAACTTGGCTGTTTTACATATTTTGCAGATACCAAACAGACAAGTGTTAAGTGCATATGTTGTCATTCAACTAACTAAACTTGCCCTGAATCTCTTATCTTACATCAGCAATAGCTTGTGGCTATACCGTCCCCCAGGAAATTATGGGCTGTTTTCCCCTTATCCATCTCAGATTTGCAGACTTTTAGTTTTCATAAATGCTCATTTCCCATCCCCTACCCCCAACTGATCTGACAGTAAATAGCAATACTGATGGCTGGCTGTACATAATGGGACAGAGGCTGAAAGCACAGTGGTTTCACTGTGGCATGGGATTTCAAAACTGAAGATGATAGAAACATCTCCACATTGACAGAGGTCTAACAAAGTTTAAAGTCTATTTCAAAGCTGGCAGAAGTCTTTTACATACTCTGTAAAAGCAGTCTTAATCTGCATAGAAATCACATCCAAGACTTCCTGTTATCTGTCAGCAGCCACAGTCAGAGCTGAAACCCCAGTGGGGTTTGCATGACATCCACCACTTCCAGTCAAATAAGCTAAGTAGTCAAGGTACCCCTAGGCGAAAGCTCTAGGCAGAAACAAGGAACATTTCTCCAAAAGCCTGAGCATGTGGCATCCCTTCTAGGTTTTAGCTGCTTTACTTGTACGTGGGAAGTGGCTACTTGCATGGGAGGCCTTTGCAAGAACACCAAAACTCCGTGCCACTATTTGCATAACAACAAAACACAGCTTTACCCAGTTAGTGGCCTCAAACATTTTCACATCCAGTGGGTCTCCTTGGATCTTGCCCTCCCAAACAATTAGTGAATGACAAACCACCATTGCTCTGAACACTGGGCCCCAAGGCAGGCTGTGGTCCACATGGAAGCTGTGAATGTCCTGGAAGCTAACACAAAAGAGAACACAGAAACTATCACCAGAAAACACCAAACAACATATAACTAACAGAAAAAGAATCTCAAGTCAGGGAGCTGTTAAAGTTCTATCCTGTGGTCAGACCACAAGCATGTTTCTGGGGACTTGTCCTCCCTCATGAGCTATTTCTCACACACCTGTTACAGGCTGGGATACACATGCTCAGAATAGGTGTATTCTGCAGAGTTAAGGGGTCTATGGACAGAGGAACAGATTTCTATAAAATATCTTCCTTGCAACTTTTGTAATGACTCTTGAGCTTGAGACTGGTATAAGCTTGAGCATTTTTGTGCACGTACGTTTCTGGAAACGTAAATGGACAAAAACATGGGCACTGAAGGAACTGAGCAGCAATCTCATGGCTAACAGTGACTTCCTGTCAAAAAGGGTTGGGGCACTGCTGCAGCTTTGAGATTTAACCTGGTATGTCTACTGCAGACTACCCTGCCTGGGCATGCTGTGCCAAACACTGATGACAGTGGCTGCATGTTTTCATGTGGATCAGGACTCCTGGGATGACGCAACAAACTCATTTTTCAGAGGCTACAGAAACAATCTAAACATGAAGAACTTCAAACTTCTGTTTGACATTAACTGTATTTCAGATTTGTTAACATGTCTAGGAGGAGAATTCAGTCACTATCCCACCAAGTTTAAATGCCATTGGTGTGTCAAGGAGCCTTACCAGTTTCTTTCAGAGGGCAGCAAGCCCCAAAGATCCAGGCCATCTTCTGTTAGGGTGCCAGTCTAAGTTAAAATGTACATTTAAATTAACTTCCCACATGAGAGTTCCAAGAGGAATAAAAAGCAAGACTTATTTTAAGAAGTTATTGTCCAGAAAATGCCAGCACAGTACAGAGAAAAAGTGCTACCAGCCCATTCCTAGATTCCAAGAAAAACGATTGGCAACAGTGTCTGTTCAAACATAAACTTAAGTATACAAGATTGGTCAGTGTGTTTCTAAAATACAATGAAAATGCTTGATCAAAGCTCATATTCTCCCACCCCTCGCATGGCTCCCATTACTAGTAAGAGAGTAACCACCACGTAGCAGTTACTTTGTCAAAGCAGATGAGGTTCAGCTGTCCACACACGTTGATCCTCTGTGGGCTGATGCAGAAGATGCCCTTTTTCTTCAGCCTCCGCTGGGTATAAATGATCCCCGTTGTCAAGGCAGCTGGCAGAGCTGGGGGGACAGCAATAGTGATAACATCCAAAGCCTTCTTTACCACTTCTCCTGCCTCCTCCTGACACAAAACCAAAGACAGTTATCAGAAAGAGGGTGGCAAGGAGTGCTGCTTGGATTGTCTGTCTTCATTCCTCCTCCCCTCCACTGGAGGTGCTTCAGGCTGTGGTGTTTTCTGCCCTTGGTCCATCACGTTTTCGTCTCCCTAAGAAATTAATTGCTTTCATTTAACCAAGGGCTTTAAGGCTACAACACTGCTAAAGAGGAGCTTCCACGCCTTTCTTCATTCTCCATACTAACAAACCTGCCAGGTAGAGCCCGCAGTCTCCTCCAAAGCACATGAGTTCAAACATGCCAGCTAGGTTATTGCACCCTCAGTCAAGCCCAGTTTCCCATGATACAGCACACAAGAATCTGCCATTTATATGGGCATTCATCCAACTGCCTGCAGGCATAGCTCTGGACTCCATGTTAGGGTGATAGGTGAGATGTATGGGATACCGCTGAAAAGAAGGGCAGACTGCATGAGCTAATAATTTCCTCTGACCTTATGTTCTAGGAGTTGTGAAAGGAAATTACTTTTACCTGCAGGAAGAGACATGGAAGTAAAAGTTACATTTCTAAAAGCACTCTCTAATTTGGGAGCTTAGAGGTTGGTGTAAAACTGACTGCCAGTATGCTGAATGTCAGCACTGTTATTCCTGGCAGTTGGTATCACTGCTAAAGGATTGAATGCCTTTCAAACTGGGGTCCCTGAAATGAGACATTACAAACTAAAGACAATTTGCAGTACAGAAGGATCTGCAAACCATCATAGAGTCTATTATCCCTGTTTCTGAGCCTGGGACTTTCCGTCATGTTCTCATTCCCCCTTCACTGATATTGTTTCAGACCACAGAAGGCACCAGTTTGATAATATTTCATATCTATTTTCTATCTATTTTATGTTAGAATGAAGCACTTAGGACCTTTAGATAAACAGACTCACTGAAGGGAAACCATTTAGTATATTATGTGACTGAATCTTACACCAGTCTTACAAGACAGTTCCAGCTGCTGTGATAACATCAGCATGTATTTTACATATAACAAGGGGGAAGTTAAACAAAAAAAAGGAAACACTAAAAAGCAGACACCAGGATATGTTCTTAAACACACTTTCTTTGATATCCTGAGGGGAATTAATCTTCTGAGCCAACTGATTGTAGATTATTCCAATGGAGAAAAATTATTCAAAAGCTGAATTGCAGAATCAACCTTGCAACTCAGGACTTGGACTTCACATTAGCAGATAACTATCAAGGCATGAAATGACTTCTTGAAAGTTTCTGTAGAAGTTCTAAAGCAATTGGGCTTTAAAAATTTCAGAACTACTGTTTACAATATACAACTATTTCTTACATTGACCTTGATGCATGAGAATGTGTGAAGTGTTTTTAAAAGGGTTTCAGGCTAACTGTCTAGAGATTCAGAGACTCAATTGATACAGAATAGTTGGTTGTTCAAGTTATTTCCTAAAAGCTCTCAAGTATATTAAGCTGAGTGATAACTAAATGAAGGTTATCTCCCTCTCACCCCTGCCTCCACCAAATAACTATACAAAGATGTGAAAAAAGAAAAAAAAAAAAAAAGGGCAGAAGAAAACACGGAGTTCTTTGTAACATCAGTAAATTTCAGGGATCTGTGTTTACACCTGCACTGTTGAGGGCTCTGTAACATGGAAGAAAGGTGGCTGAAGCAGTGGCCAATGATCTCTAAATCACAAATAGTACAGGAAATATCAAATAGAAAGCAGCTATTTGTTACTTCTCTAGAACAAAAATCTATAGTGCCTTCTGTGATTTAGACAGTGAATTTAAAAATTTTTACACAGTACATAATGAAACTATGGGAATCATTGCCAGAGGTGCTGGCAAGGCCAAGGCATAAATTAATTCAGAAATATATTAAACCACACTCTGGTGGATTTTCAGTGGCTAGTAAAGCTAGGTGATCTAGATACAAAAGATAGCTTACTGACCTGTTAAACCTTTCTCTTCAAGAAGTTAGAAGACTACACCAGGGAAGAATTGTTGTATACTTGCCCTACTTCCTAACCAGTTTCCACAAGCATTTGATACTGGTTACTCTCAGAGACAGTGGACAGGGATAGATGGGTCTTTGATCTAAACTGAAGTTTTTGTAATGCTGCCTTTTCACAATGATACATCAGTCTGTGTCCCATTTAACCCATGACTCACTCGTTATTTTTCTAGGAATATACAAGAAGTGCCACAAAAAGTCTGTAAAAGCTACTTGCAGAGTGCTAAGCCCTTGGGATCTCTCAGTTTCAGAGCTCTGGAAAGCATTATGCTAATTACATGCACTGATAATTACATGTATCAGCAAGCACAGGGCAGGCAACACACAAAAACAGAGGCAGTTGGCATACTGAAGGCTGCTGACAAGACATGCAGTGCTTGCATAGGATTTGCTAGGACCTCAGAAGAAATTACAATTGGGAAACAGTGGGTTTTGGCACCTTGGAATTGAATGTATGAGACCTTGTATACTGTCGCAAATACAATTACATTGTAAAATGGCCTCATATACTAAGACAAAAAGGATAGTGACAAGGACTATATTTTCATATATAAATGTATATGAAGCCAGTCAAGTTTCAAGCCTCTTGAAACTGGGTGTGACCATTTCTCCTGCATTTATTAACTCACCCCATTAAGTGCAAATACACACACTGTGTAGATCATTCCAATGGCTGCAAATGCTATGAGGCACATCAGGAACCGGAGGGCATCCCTGTACAGCTTGAAGTTCATGGGTTTAGGGTAGAGAATGGACCTCACCAGATCTCCTTTGGCTGTATTGAAGCCTGGAAAAACAAACTAAAAGCATTCCAAAGGGAAAACATTTCCAAAAGTTCTCTACAAAGAATGGAGGGCTTTAAAATGACTCATAATTTCTGTAACTTAAGAAAGAAGGCCCAGATCTTTAATTTTAGAGTGTGTGACCTACTCTGCAGAATATAGAAAAAAGTTATTTTTGTCCTTTTCAATGTCTCAGAAGCAAAACGAAATTCTTCTTTGTAATCATATGCTAGTGGTTTTTGTAATAGTTATGCCAAGCAAATGGAAACAATGCATAATAGCTCAGCCCAGCCCAGGATATCAATTCTCCATCTGACTAGTGTGAATTTGGATTAACGCCTTTAACTTAATGTGACTGGGCACATTAAGTCAGACTCTCTTCCAGGAAGAAAAAGCATGAAAGGAAAAGCAAACTGAAGCATTGACTGACCAGTCCGCAGTACCACAGCCTTCACTACTCCTCTGTCATCTGGCTTTGTCTGTATGACCTCTGTTCCACAGAAGAGGATATGTTTTTTGTAATCTTCTGCACAGTGCACTCTCCAGGGCTTGAAGTTATCACCTTGGGGTAGGTGGGTCTTTGTTACTGGAATACTTTCCCCTAGGAAAGATTAGCTCAGATGAGGAAGACTGCAGTACACCTCAAAATCAGCCTGCCGACTTTCAAATAAGTACAGTATCTAGACATCTAGATGGTAAGTTATTTACTAGTAAAACCAGTTTAGATAAATGTTACTTTTATATTGTGACACCTTCAGAGTAATAGTTTGAAGCCTAGCAAGCAAACAGACTCTGCCAGAGAAAAGCTCTCCTTTGCATTGGTACAACAGCTTTGTGTAAGTCTGAGAACTGAAAGCAGTCCAAGGAGACTCCGAACTCTAGCTGTAGATACACAGACTTGAACACCTGAACTGCTGTTGCATGATGCCACTTGATGGCCACAAGTTGTTTACCGAATTTGAACCTCATGTGCAGGTCACTACACTATTCTCTTAGGCAGATTAAACATGACATTTCCTCTTTCCTCTTCCTAGTAAAAAGGAGAGCCTTCAGCTCAATGCTTGACAGCTGACAAATATCCTATTTACATCAGAGCAGATACACTAAGGTGAAACAGAATAAATATTTTCTGTCAGCTGAAGCTTTCTAAATGAAAGAGATGTCTGGAATTTCTCATTTACATGAAATTTTACAACTGTGGGTTTCAGTTTGATTCAGACCAAGACCAAATTTGAAGACAAGATACAGAACTATGAACATCTCCTGCACCAAAAATCCTGCTTTGCAGTGAACTGCCTCACCTCGTGTGTCCTCCACTGCTATCACATGAACATGGGGCTAAATGTCTGGAGAGCTAGACAGACACTCCAATACGTTGGAGACACAGTGACTAGCGACAAGACATTCACAGTGATCAAGAAAAACTCCTACAGCCTGAGCAGACTGTGGGCCCTCAGTGGGAACAGCTTTGCTCCATATCTACTGTTTCTTCTCCTGTCCTGCTCATTCCTCTTTTTTTCCTTTCTAATCAGAGGATCCCTTCCTAAATGCTGCACCCCAGAAAGGAAGAAAAGGATGAACTGTCCTTCCTAAAGTCTGTCTTGCCTATTGAGATAAGCTGGGGCTAACTACAATTCAGTCTTTATTACAGCAAACACCCCAAAGTATCCCTTTCCAGGCTAGCTGTGTACTATCTCATAATAAGTGTGCTAAATTATAACACTGTATGTCTGTGTCAGTGGCTGAAGCTCTACGGCTGTGATGGTGTGTTGATGATAAACCTGGGAGGGATGAACTGTACCTGTCAGCATGCTTTCATTTACAGTACACTGCCCGCTGATCAGGATGGCATCACAGGGCAAAAGGGTTTTGCCCTCTTTCAAAACCAGCATGTCTCCAGGAACAAGATGGTGTGATTCCAGCTCTTGGAAACCTGTAGGTGACATGTAATGCAAGCTTTGTGCTTCATATACTTCTCTGTGGTGAGGGGAAAAAATACAAGGAACTACCTGCTGAATAGATTGTTACTTCTTTATAATGTCTGATAAACAAAGGACCACAAGTTGGACCTAAGAATACAACCTCCAATGTTTAGAAAGCCAAGGCATCAGTTTGAACTGCAGAATTCTCCCCAGGAGCCCAACCAATGGTTATTATTCCAATGCGCTGACCTAGCTGAAGAAGCTTTGATCTACCTTTCTTAGTTTGACTCCATCTTTTTGGATTGTACTCTAAATACCATGGCAATGAACAGACTTTGCATGGAGCAATTAGGTGGACTCACAGACATTTAATGACTATGTGGCTGGCTTTGTCAGCACTGCTTTAAGAAAAATGACATAGTTATCCTGATATTTTTTTCTAAGACTGTGCTCCGTCAGTTATGAATATGCCTCATGTGCCACAACATACTTCTAGGTCAAATTAACCCAATCTGTAGAAGATAATCAAGCTGAGAGACAGAAGAGAGAACTGCCCTAGAAAGAATTTGATACTGTTCATTCTTGAGTTTGATAGAAATTGCTATAGAAATAAAACACATTATAGAAAAAAATGTATAGGAGTCACCTTCCTTATTTCTGCAGACAGTGACCATGATGTTGTTATGAGACTCAACCAGCCTGTGCAGTTTAACCGATTGCTACAAATTAAAGGAGAACACACAAAAGTGTTATATCTTACATGATGCAATTCATACACTAACAATTCTTCCATGTTGTTATTTGTGGTTATGAAAGCCCTCATAAACTGGGATCTGGCCCTGCCAGGAACTTTACAATCATACAGAGAAATAAATTGCTCACCCTAATTACGGAGAAGGTGTAACAAAAGATTACAAAGTGAAGCACTGGGATGGGGAAGGGAGGATGTGGGTAAAGAACCACACAAAGTTTATGATAACTAGGAGGCCAGGCCATTGCACCTGCTACTACATAATATCGCAAGACTAAACCTCTCAGTAACTCTCATAACACTGTACATGTGCATGTTGTAACATACTGGCCTTTCCCAGACACTAGAAATAAATCCTCCTTGTGGTAAAAGGTAAGGTGTCTCACCTGTCTAAGATCATACACAGTCAAAACAATTGAGAGGAGAGACATGATTATGATGGCAGTGGCATACTCCACGTAATCTTCAGCAAACCACAGACACACACTGAACAGCTGGAACACGTAAAATGGATTTAAGACCTGTTTGGAGAGAAAGCAATACTCAAGAGCTGGCCACATTTAAACGGCTCCAGTATACCCAGCCAGGCCATCCTGTTAGAAATGGGCTGGAACAAAAGCTATTGAGTTAAGCATTGTGTTTCCCAACCCCCTTTCTAATTTTGTTAGCAGTGGCTTCAGTCTAATCAGACTGGACCATCTCCATCTGACAGAAGGGCCAAATAACCTGGACTAATAGGATGTTATGTAGGATGTGAATGGTTCAGCCCAAGCCTTGTTTTGCTTGCTTCTTTACGTATAACAAAGGTGAGAGAAGAGCAGGTTGTGCTGTGAGGATGGAGCTTACACACCATAGGCACATTTCCACAAATGCTCTGTTTAGGCCACATATAGCCAGTTCCTGTCTGAAAAAGATACTGGTGTTTGAAATGGCGCTGTGCCCAGAGTCATGAGCTCACTGGATCTCTCTGCAGCTGCAGGCATATACCAGCTACCGCTGCTCACTTAACCTCTGCTGATTAAGAGACAGCCTCTGTCTGGAAGGATGGATTTCCAGTGAAGCTTGTAAACGTTCACTGACCCTTGTGAGGCCAACAGAATGAGCTCCCAGGACACAGACGCATACAAATACCAAGCAGCCACACAGGCATGGGGGTGGAGGACAGGGAACAGTGGAGAATAAATGAATTTATGGTGATTTCATGGAACAGCTTTAAAAGGATTTGCAAAAGGAGTGTGCTTGATGAGCAAGTACTGGGAAGCTAATTCAGACATAGCATCCATTATATTCCATATGCACACTCTGCCTCCCCACATAGCCTAGAGTAAAAGCAAGAGAAATGCTTAACCTCTTTGATGAGTAGTTTCCAAATAGGGATCACTGGAACATCAACAGTGTTTGGCCCACATATAAGTCTCCTGTGTGGGACAGATATACATCACTTACATATAAAATAGTGGCAATGTAGCTCACTCAAGAAGCTGCAGCTTTCAATAGTCCTGAGAGCTTGTACCAATCCCAGTTTAATGGCTGTGAGGATCTTTCTCCAAGAAAAAGATAAAAAATTAAATGCCCCTATAGTGCTCATGTCAGAAAAGACAACTGTACAAATGAAATATACAGACAAGAAGTGTAACACAGCCCTTTAGGCAAATGTTCCCCTCATGCAAAAAATTCCTTTGAAGCACCATAAACAAAGGAATTCTGCACCTAAAACTAAGTTATCTAAAACAAAATAATTTTGCATAAAGTTAAAGGTGATTTGAATGTAAGATTCAACATAAGCTAAGGTCAGGAGCTGGATTTTCAGTATTCAATCAACTGAAGATCATGTCTTTACTTAGCACTTTCAGGAATACCTATAAGTTGTCTAATGATCCAGTAGTTTGTCAGAATAAATTAAATTACCAGAACTAATTGATTTAGAAGTTCAATACAATTACATGGAGCCCCACTGAAGAAGTACACACACAACTTATCTGCATCATCTCATGGAGACTTACTCCAAATAAGAACTGCTTAGAGTTAGTTACAGGACATAGTTATTTCCTGATTGAGAACAATAACAGTAATGAATACTGAGACATTTCAAAAACTTTGACAAGGAATACACAACATTCTCTAGCTCTTTTCATTCAATTTTTCATGCATGGCCATTTAATCTAAAATTATGTGCATATTAATGGATACACAAGAAACTCAAGGAAAGTGCACCAACAGCAGTGAATTTACATAACTTTGAAATCCATATATTGAGTACTTGTGTTTTAAAATGTATACCTGACATTCTGTTCATTGCAGGTCAGACCAGAACCAAATTTGGCATGTATAGCTGAGCAAGTGTGGTAGTCTTCTAGAGCTCTAAAATATAAAGGGAGTGTTTTCCTTAGCACGATATTCACAAAGAAGTTTGACTTCCTCAAAGACTTGTGTAACCAGGGCATTGAACTCACCCAACTTTCTGGAACTGTTTCGCATAGATATTCCAGACATAGCGGATTTGTTGCACTTGGATACTTTTCACCTGCAAAACAAAACAGGGACAATATATGCAACACAGCAAACAAAGATATTCCCAGGCCTGCTCACAGATCTCAGCTAGGCATCCTCACTGGGGTCAAGCACAGATAAAGCAAATTATATGGGAGGCAGGGAGGGAGAGAAGACAGGACTGTATATACTAACTCCCTAGTTATTTTATAGAGTGGGAGTCCCACCTCAGTGCAGTTTCCAGTAAGCTTTATAGGTCTTTAGGTCAAGCAAGTACAAAGCAGCATTCTTCTCTCCCCATTTTCTGAAAAAAAGGAATACAGTCCTTGCCCTCATTTCACAGAACGAAGGGAAGAGATCACTGAAGCAGTGGTGTGCATGCAGGCAGTTGTCAAAGCCCCTCTTCAGTATCTTCTGTCTGGCTTTAAGGAAAGCAGCGGGCTTTGGGCAGTTTGCAGGCATGGTGCCGAGTCATTCAGCTGAACAGATACGCCAACAGACAAGAAAGGCCATCCCAGGATATGTCCTGAGTCACTGCTAATGCTAAGCCCTTGCAGAGCAGTTACCCATTAGGAATGCACGCTGCCATTTATAGCTTGCAAAAGGAGTCTGTCCTGTCCAATAATGAAGCCTATTAGAGGTAATGGTGTTTCATATCAGCTGGAAGAAGGCAGGGCTATACACCTATACACATAAGTAATAAAGAAATCAGCTCCAAGGGACTCTCCCTACCCAGTGCAATAAGCATTATTACAAGTCAATGAAATCTGTATCCAACTCATACACTGACTCAAAATGGAGCTATAACCACAGTCATTAACCTAACAAGAGGTCTGCAGTTAGATTTCATGCAATAGGGACTGCAATATTTGCAATGCTAAAAACTGGAGTGGGAAATGAGGGACTCAACTCGCTGCCGGAACAGGTCCTTGGACAGCTCTTGAGCGCTGCACATTACTCTATGGACTTAGGTAGCTTAAACAGCAAACAGGTTTTATAACTGACAAATAAGTAGGGGTTTCTGAATTGCTAGTGAAGGATTAAATTGTTTGCTCTTTGCTGCTTTGGAATCTGTTCTTTTCTATCTACATGTTTTGATTGATATGAAAGTGTTGTTCAAAGGGCCTATCATTTTGAGGGCTGTATTGGGCTTTTTTATGTCACTAATTCGATCCTCTGAAGGATGTTACAAACCAGTCTTCACTTTCATGCTGTGCCAGTTGATTAAACTAGCTGGCACTAAACTTTCTTATGCCCACACAAAACAGCAGTAACAGCAACAGCTTTGCTCAGATAAAGTTAAGTTTATAATGAAAGTATTTACTAAAAACTGCTGTAGATATAAAAATAAATGCTAGCAAGTTAGGAATCTATTTCCTGGAAGGGAATATAGCTCTTTGGTGGGTTCCCCAGTGCAGTGATATAGTATCTACAATCAAGAGCCAGATATTAGCAAATGTTCCACTGCATTCCTAGTGCTCACACCAATTTAATGTGTAATGCTAGGTAAGACTTGTAACTGAATGTCTGGTACCTATTGTAAAATGGGGATATTTATATTTACTCAACTCATGAGGAACCTTGTGGTCTGCTTGGATCAATTAAATGTTTACCTTCTCCTCCAGTGCCTCACTGGGACCTCAAAACTATGGAACTGGCAGAAACCAGGATACATTTTTGCAGGAACAGCGAACAGTGCAAGACCTAACTCCAGCAAATGTGATTTAAAGCACAAATTGGTGCACACAAAGGCACGAAAGTGTGTTTCGGACTCTCCTTGATGAAACATTTCTGGAAATACTGATGCAGCCCTGCTCAGGCACTTTTCTGTTCTATTCCCCTTCAGCTGTATTCATCCCTGTTTTCATGTTACTGTTGGACCTGCGATGTTTGGTTTCTCGCAGTTTCCCTCCAGACACACAGCCACCCTTAAATTCCTTGATTCCTATGTCAGCAATGAGTTTTTGATTTGGAACTCTGATTCTTCACTACCAACCCCAGTGTCTTGAAGCTCTCCTTCTAATGTAGGTCTTCTCTCAGGAGTAGTGGGGAGTTTTTTTCCATAACCCACCTCGGAGTAAGAGAGGATTTTTACAGAGGTGAGTATAGTTCTCCAAAGTCTCTAGCTTGTTTTTCCACAGCTCACTGTGCTTATCAGGCTACAAGTTTCTTAGCTGGATACGCTTCACAGCTCACTTTCACTCCATGAAGTGTGGCTACGATTTGCTATAATCTCCCAGATGCTGCAGGGAATACTTTACTTACTTGCAAACTTGGCTTCATTATGGCTTTGCTGAAGATTGAGTCTTCCTCAGCAGGGGCTGGATAATCCAATCTACTTCTGATGAGTGCAGACACAGAGATCCACGTCACAGTCTTACGAGAGTAAATCTGAAATTCATCCTAAATGAATATAAAAGAAAAGTATCACAATTTCCCTCAAAATCAGATCAAACAATCACCTTGGAGTGAATGATTACAGTAGGCCTTTCTAGAGCACTGCTCCACCTTTTTTAAAGAACTAACCAACAGGGGCCTTCCAGCACCTGTGACTGATAGACAAATCAGAAAAATGGGAGCAGAAGCATGGTCCTGTCAAAACGTAAGCACTGCGAGTAATACTGACTGCAGGTCTGGTGCTTGGCTGATAAGGATGGAATGCAAACACCCAGGTCATGATCTAGGATAGGCAAACAGTTCAGGACAATCTGAAATGCTGTGACCATACTGTAAAGGGAAGATCAAAAGGAACTTAGTGCTGTACTGCAAAATGGATGTTTAGTGCCAATACCTTTTCACTGTCATTCCTGCGTTAACACTTCATTGGAACAAGTGTGTTTGCACTATGCCTCCCTCATGGTACCTTAGACAAGCTTTTGCCACAAACCGAGTTCATGATCTTGCTATTTTTTATAAAATAAGTTCAACATTGGAACTGCCTGATAACTAGTGTTGGTAGTACAGTCTTAGAGATTAGAGCAACTACTGTACTAAGTACCCTCATGTTAAGTTTCAGTCCTGAACACTGAACCACATGCATTAAAGCCAACTATAAGACTGCTTATATACCATATTCAGTGTGAGCAGTTTCGCAGATGGAAAAAGCTGATTACCTCAGCTAGCCAGGTTCTGGAAGCAGAGTTATTAAACTTCATTTGGAAATGACAACAACAAAAAAAGATTCTGTACCAAATATGAGTCCTTTTGAATAATTTAAGGGTTCAAAAAATAATTTTAATGATGTTTATATATCTTATTTATTTGTGCACTTTTCTTCTTAAACTGGTAGTTTGAGTAAAATAATATTTATTTCCTGATATTTATCTTTTTTTGTAGACATTGGGATGCAGATTGAGGTGGGAAGCAGTGAACAACACAGGTGCTCATTATTTGAACTAAAATGAGTCAAAATTCAATAACAAAAGTGAGTTAATAGGCTCTTACATTGCAATTGCGGAGATGATAATGAATTATGAATGAAGATTTTATGTGAAGCAAAAACGAATTCCAATGATCAAGCTGATGGGATTACTTACACCCTCGTTAGCAGTAGCCATCACATTTGAGAACTGACATCATCAGAATGTATGGAAAAAAAACCAACTGTCATGTTAATAAAAAGAACCACGAAGGAAAGCCGAAATTGCCAAATGCCCAGAGCATGCTTTGAGAGAGTTTCCTGACAACAAGAATGTACAATATGAATCAGTTATTGTTTAAATACATAAAGGATAATTTAAAAACTCATTATTTGAAAAGTGCTTGGCATGGCAAACCCATTGAAAATTACACACAAGAATAGGTAATTTAAAATCCAAACTGACCTGAAGATTAAAAAGCGATGCAGATTGTTTCAATATAAAATATTGAACATGCAGATCTGTGATTTTCAAAACCCAAGATTTTAACTGCATGCTGCTCTGCTCAGTTAAGAGGGCAGCTAACATATAGTGGTAGCAAGTGATCCATTTTGCAGCTGCACATTTTGCAAATGCCATTGTTCAGGAGTCTTTGAAGCAGAACAAATCAAACTTCTGGAAGTAAACCAACCTTGCCAGCTCCTGGAGTATTCAGGCTGAGCTGGGATTCAGAGTCAAGTCTCAATTTGCTTCTTTTAGTGTTGCAGTAGCTTGCATGAAATGAAATTAGGCTTTGAGTATGTTGCAGTACTTCAGTACAGTCGTCAACAGATAGAAATCTGTATTGGGAAACTACTAGCAAAACATAACAGCCCTGAAAGCATTAACCGCAGGACTGTGGGCTTATTGGACATGGGGAAGGGCTGATGGAAAATGGAAACACACAGCCAAGAAAACAAGCAATCTAAGCTTGCCCTCTTCCTTATACTGATCCCTCATCACGCACTCTTGGACACTGCTGGGGACAGAGCTAGACAAATCTATTGTTTGGCCACTGGCTGAATTTTGACAGAGAGGGGCAGCTTCACCAGGATGGCCAAGTGAGGGAAAAGGATCTTCTGGACACTGTCAAACAGATGCTTTAGAATCTGGCGCACAGATCTGCAATGTAGAAAGCAAAGACATGGTGGAAGGGAGGACGAAGGATTGAGAGCAATTAACACAGTCTTGAAACCAGAGATACTAAAGTTTTTTCACCTCGATTTTTTTCAGCTTGTTGCCTGATCAGCTGTTACCATTCCAAGCAGCGTGTTACACATAATTTGCGGAACACTTGAGAGTTCATTGGATCAGTGATGGTAAAGACAAGACATTATTGCAGGAAAACAGGAATGTAAGAGATTTCAGCTCAATGTATTCCTTCCAATTAACTAATCTTCCCATTAACTACATACTAGGGACTAATGTAAAGATTAAAGTAGGCACCTACTGTTGTTCTGAGCAGAACAACATCCGCTTCTTCCAAGCTGCAGCGGATGCAGTTTGCCCACACGTCCCACTCTGGCTTCCAGTAAAACAGCAGCAGCAGAGCCCCACAGGACAAGATGTATCCAGCAATGCACAAAGCCTTTCGGCAGCCTTGGGTTTTGTAACCAAATATCTCCTGTACAGCAAAGACAAGGAAAAAATCATTACTATTTCTCTTAAAGGAACACCTGGAATACTACACTTTCCCATCATTCATTGCTCTCCCATAGGAACTGTTTGGTATGGTACTGTGAAAAAACAAGTCAGAGAACTTCTATTTGGTTTCTTTATGTGTCTTAAACATGACTAGGAAAAAATTTTGCATGTTCCACAGAAGTTTTCATCCACTTTCACAAAATCTGGATTGCTGACCAAACCTTTAAAATAGTTCTATGTAGCTGTGAAACTCAGCATGAGATGTTGTTATGTGCGTGCATGAGTTGGAATGATGTCAAAATAGAGAGGCCCTAACCTTTAGGCCCCAAGTCAGGAACACAGATTTGCCTGGTCAGCTTTAGTGAGGTCCCTGAGTGAGGCAGCTGAAGAACGGGAGTACGTCAGCACAAGGGGATGGCCAGTAGTGCAGACCCACTGCAGCAGCTGAGACAGGGCCTGCTTCGAAATCAGAAGCACTAGTGATGTCCTGCCATAGCGGTGAGTCTGCGTTAATGCACCTACACTTTAGAGACTCAGCTAGAGTCTCTGCATGTGCTGCATGACACTGTGTGGCTGTACCAGCTGGAGCTGCTTTGCACAACTCGGCACAGAAACAGCCTTTGTAGGGCTGTTACCATCTTCCATGATAGCTCCAGTATGGGGATTTTGGATACTGCCAATACGTGCCATTGTCCTAACAACCCAAAATAATAACTGCTAGTAAGAACAACTAATGAACACTTGTAGAATGCTTTACATGTTCAGAGGGCCAAAGGAAGCTACTCACAGTAGCTGTATGAGTAGGCATCATTATTCCATTTTTAAAGCTGGGGAAGTTGTTACAGTGAGGCTAGATGACTTGCCCAAAACTTCAAAGGGATGACTGTCAGCCAGGTCTTGGTACCATGGCAAAATTCCTTCTTCTCAGTAGCACTAACAGGGACTTGGTAAAGGTGAAATGAAATGTATCCAGTGAATTTATAGAAGAGACCAAGCCCTGATCTAAGGTGGGAGATTGCTTGGCTGCAATTACATTGGGTGCCCAGGAGAATTTGCTAAGATAAGGGTTAAGATTCCTCAATCTCCTTCTTCCTAGTATATCTGCAGCAATTGTGCAATCTGCTTCTGAAGATCAGATATCTGCAGCCACGGATATTGCAAGATCCATTCATAAGGTGAGAAGAAAAGGCAAAGTACTTGGAAGGATGAGTAATGCATAATTCCTGGTTCTGTGGCTGCGTCTTTGCTTGTTATGCGAAACGCAGGCCCTACCCACTGGTTCCACACTCTGTCTTAGCCTACCTGCTCTATGTCATTCTCCAAAAGACAGGCTCTATCTTCCTAGCTAATCTCTGTGGGGTTTCCGAAGGGCAGAAATTGGTAATTGTGGGGGAAAAATATGTTAAACTACACAGCAAAGTGGCCTACATTGCACAGGACCTGGTTATACCACTTTGAGATGCAGACGCTCAACATTTTCAAAGGCTTTTATAATCTCTGAGCAGCCCGACAGAATAAGGCAACTCTGCAGCAGATAGAAGGAAGCTCACGGAGAACAGCAGATAAGACAAGCAAGATTGCTAGAAGGTAGTTGGTGTGGCAGTTGTGCTATTAATATTCACGTGCTCCTATAAACAGGTAAAGGGCTCTCCATTCACCTCTATCTAGTCACATTCTTAACAAAATTTTACAAAATTAGTGTCAGGACCAGCATGAAGAATAGTACATAGAATGATGTGAACTTACTGTTCACAGCAATGCCTTACAAGCAAGATCCAGATGCCTGAATACAGAATCTACAGCTTGTCAGCAAGGCAAAGGAACTCCCAAGGAGACGGACGCCTAAGGGAAGAACTGTTAAAAGAACGTGCCTTCAGACTTCCTCCAGTAAATGTCTGGACCTGGAATAACTGGAATAACATTTTCAAACTGGGATAGGTGTGAATATCAGGGTGGGGAAGAATGAGATTGCTGCCACGTGCATCTTGCTTCTGCCAGTGAATCATTCCTTTAATTTCCAGCTTTTGTGCTTACACCTGAAGTCTGAGAAGTCAATAAGGCTGTAGTTAATGCAACTAAGAAGGGAGAGGGTGGGCACTCGGCATGTGACCAGCAGTCATTTGGGATCATCTTCTGTTGGCAGTGTTCTCTGCTGAAATGCTGAATGATTCCCTGATATGACAACATAACCACAGAGCTAGGGCAGACTCTGTCTTTGCCTAGGAAACCATGCACCTATATATCAAAATACGTATCTGAGTCCCCCTATGCCTGCATATGTTTCCAGGCCTTTGCTTTCCAGAATAGCTTCCCCTCAAAAAAATGGTTTGGTCCCTTAGATCTCAAGACAGTTCCCAAAACCAAGCATGCATCAGTATTCCTCATCCTGAAAACCGGGAGATGGGAAGATAAGGAAAACAGATCAGCTGGGAAAAAAGGCCATGCTCTTAAGATGTCCACTACGCTGTCTGCTGGACCTTGCTGCTTCTCACAAGGGACTTGTCCTGAGATAGACAGACAGAAAGACAGACAGATAGATACCCTTAAGCTATTCTGACACAGTGCACATTCTGCGCTGTGAACACAGGTGTTGTTGGTTCAGCTTCACTGGTTTGTGTCTCAGTGAAGTGACATTTCTGAATGCAGGTGTTCAGGAGCTCCACAAGGAGCAAGCTGGGAAAGAACAAACATCAGATGTTAACTGCTGTTTTATATCTGGATGTCCATGCAGGAATCTAAAGACAAAGCAAATCATTCCCCATGGTTTGGAAATACCTCGAGCAGGTTACCTGGGCCACATAATTCAGAAGTAAACCTAAACAGGGAAATAGACTAAGCTCCAAACCTAACTTCTGCCAAAGTTCCCTGGGCTGGAACCTTTCAATACTTAACTTCAGAATAAAATGTTCTGTTAGGTTGAGGTGTTTTTTCTCACTCTGTGCCTTCAGCACATGAATGATGCATTTGTGAAAAAAATATTTAGTGTGTAAGTAACTCCTTGTTGAAACAGAAACAGTATTAGTACAAACACTTTCAAATTGTCCAATAAGTCAACAGTGGAATTCTTTAGAAGAATTCTCAAAACCATTATCTTATTAAAAAAAAAAAAAAAAAAAAAAGGTGAATATTAGACCCACAACAGAGGTATCCACAATGTGCATGAAGAAGGGGGGAACAGGCACACACAAGACGCAGGTTTCTCAGCAGGTTTATCTAGCCACATGAATGCCTTACCGTAATCAGGGTTTGGAAATTCTTCAAGCTTATTCAGGATTCCTGAGGCCTATACTACAAAGAATTCCAAGTAAGTGCATGTCCACTATGTCAAACAATACTTCTATGGCTGGCAGAACTCCTAGTGTTGATGTCACCAGTAAGAACATGTCTGTCAGGTTGGTTTTATGATGCTAAGGAAAAGAGGAACTTTTGCTGGGTCGTATTTCATTGCACAAAGAGGCTGTGCTGATGCAGACATCCTGCTTTTGAAGATAGGTCTGATGAATACAGATTTACACCTTCACAACTTTTCTACTGTGTGAGCAGGTTTTTAGGGCTCAATGTGTGCATTTGGCATATATAACATTATACAGACAAATAACCTGAGTTCTTGAGGGCACCAGACTAAGAGATGTTGGAAAACAAAGCTAAGATTAGCTATCTGTAAGACTCCAAAAGGCTTCTCATTATCTCACAGGAGGTAGCACTGTCTACAAAATAGGCTGGTATGCAGGGCTCATCTCATCTCTGTAGAATAATTTTTTTTAATAAATTGTAGTGTATTGTAAAACTTTGTTTCCTCATCTGTTAACATCCCCTTTCTTGTGAGAGTTCCAACAGTCAGAAGAGTGACTAAACAAAAATGGTTTAACTTGTGAGTGAAGGGTCTAGGGAGTGGTCATGGATTATTGGACAGAAAAAGCTGCCAGACCTGCTCAGCTGGCAGAAAATGTGCTTATTCCAAGAAAGGTTCTTAGCTGCTTTTACAATCATACAAAGCCAGCACTCAAGGGCTTATCACTCTAATGTCCAGCAAGTCTTTTGTTACTTACGTTTAAAAGAAAAATTGCCTGTACCTGCCAGGTGATCTGCACAGCAGAATTCAAATGCAAAAGTCAAACAAGTTCAGGCACCCTGTTCTTTGGTGAAAACAAGGCCTCTAGCTACCAGCAAGGAGCCTAAACAGTGGCTGGGAACTATCATATTTCTGGCAACCCAATCACCAGGTACCCTATTACAAACAACCTGTTGCTATAACAACAGATAATAGGATTAGACTTGAAAGACTGGTTAAGATTCACATGGAATTTAATAACTGAATCTCATTCTTACCAACCGGAACCTGTTTCATCAGAGGTTTGTTTCTGTTTCCTCTGAAGCCAGTAGCAACATTCACTATTGTTCCATTAGGAACAAGGTTGTGCCTTTCAGATTCTCTCTTAATTTGGAGAGTTAAATTTTTCAAACTCAAAGTATATACAATTCCTGGATCAGATTCCCTTCAGAATTTTGGCATCCCAAAGGAGGCAGACAGCTGCCAATATGCAGCAGCAAACTGGGGTTCACCAGCTAACTGACTGCAGTTGTCCCATTCCTTCAGACATAACAACAGGGGAATACATGCTTAAGACAGATTTCTGGCAAATCCTTCCTGAAGCAGCAGCCTGTTGAAGTCTATCACTATCTTTTCCACTGCAGGACTTATACCTTGCACTTTAGGGTTTGTGCAAAGGGAATGATTAGTCCCAAGCTGTAAAGAAGGGCGCATCAAATTGTCAGAGGGCGAAAAGCTGGTTATTTCCTTTCTCTGCCTATTCTTCTTCTCTAACTCTACACAGCACCAGTCTACTTAAACCTAATTAGCTCAGGCTCAATTCTGGCATTGCTAGTGACAGTGCCAGTAGTTGGAAGAGGAGGACAGGGTGTTTATAGTCCTAGAAGGATAGGCGCAGGCTGGAGCACAGACACAGAAGCAGCAGCTGTGTGGAGCTGGGGAGCAGTGGCACATCAGGACCAGGGCTAGAGCTAGGAGACGGGTGCTCCGAGCAGGTTTAGTAACTCGGCAGCAGAGCCAGTCCTGCATTGCACTGTGCTAATTAGTCCCCACCCTCAGAGCCAGTGCCTTGTGTTTCCTGCAGTACTCAGTTCATGCTGCTGGATGACTCTGTGCTGTGTTCTCCAGCACATCCCAGATTACCCAGTTTCGCATTATGCAAAATACGATATCTCCCCTGGATGGCAGAGAGCTGAATGAAAATCTATACTGGTATCTAGGGATAACAAATGTCCACATTTTTCCATTACATGGTCTCTTTTTCACTAAAATAGGATTCTCAGTAAGTAGACTTTGAAGATTTATCCAGGATTTCTGGAAGTCAACAGTCTCGTCACTTGTAAGTTTCACTAGCTTTGCTGGGGCTGTTGCACACCCAGAAATCCTACACACACTCAAAGCAGAGATACTGTGGTTCTGCAGCACAGGAATTTTGAGAACCACTGCATTCACCAGACATGCATGAGAATTGTTGCTGTGAGGCTGCATCAGGGGTCTGACATCTCCAGCAGAATCTGTCAGATGGACAGAATGCATATGTGACGAATAGCTGATCCGTAACATGCAGTAATGCCAAAGCAGCTAAGAAGCACTGAATTTACTACAATCTTGCACTGGGCTTACTATTTAAGAGAAGTGCCATGCATAGATCAGATATTTTACATAAACATAAGACTTATTTCCACATGTTACAGAATGCATGTAAACATACTTCTCCGTGGAAAACTCTGGAAAGAAATATGGTAGTTTCGTATTTAGAAATCCAGATTTATACAGGCACTCAGGCTGGACTAATGTTGATAATTCAACAGACTGCATTTGCTAATAATTTACACAAACATAACACAGGTGCTTTTATGTTCCAGAAAAAGCCAAAGTTCCCAGTCCTCATCTAACTAGAGCTGACCCTAGAGATTAATCTGTCAAATGGTTAGGAACACCACCCTGGCCCATCAATAATCTGTCACGCCATCCCCTGTTGGAGGGGATAGCCAATTAAGTCCAGTGGACACATACAACTTTATTTTCTTTCTGCTAAAAAAAAATTATATCCCTTTCTAACTGTATGTTTCTGCTATGGAAACACCCCCACCATCCATAACTAAATTGCAGACTGTAGCGTTTTATTGCAGAACATGTGCCATCTGGTGCTTCAAGTTGAGAAAGACCTAGACAGAGATACAACTCACCATCTCATTCTCTTCTCCCTGGTTAAGCTGTGCATAATGGTTGTTGGCAGAGTTCTCCCCCATTAAATGACCCTCTGGAGACTTTCTAGAGCACCCTCAGGACAGGTCTTCAGTGTTCTGTGAACTTCCACACTGAGGAAATGCTCTGAGTACACACCTTCCTTATAACTATGCTGATGTTTGAAGAATGGAGCTCCTCCCTCTCTGTGGGGTTAGCAGTGACATTCATCCCTCCTCCCTCCACTCTGTTGTTGGAGTTCTGTGACTGTGAGGGTACACGCAAAATTCACTCAAAAAAGCTGCAAGAAAGAAAAAGTTAGATCTCACAAGTGTTTGCCACAATATGACTCTGTCATAACTGGTAGGTGCAAGCAAGCACTATTGGCATGCCGCTTTGAGGGGAGGGCAAGAGGGGAATATTTTTCTCTGAGAGATTATGGAATCACTGGAGACCAGGAGTGTGTCCAAATGAGAAGGAAAATAGGCAATGCTGTTGTTAACACTCTTAGCAACCAAGCTGAACTAAGTGTTCAGCTGTGATCCCCACATATGCCTTGGAGAAAAATTCAAGCTCTGGCATCACAAACAGGGGCCTCAGTTTGTGCATATTGATTTATGCACTGACATGTGTCAGGATCCAGCCATGTAGGATCTGTAACAAGTATTTTTATTCATTATTAAGAATATCATCACAGAATGGCTGCTGACCTCACCATATAGCTTTGGGACACGTCATTGTGGTTATTTACTCACTCCTAGGGGAAACTGGAGTTCCCCACCATTGTCAGTGAGCTGGACACAAATCAGGGCCAAAAGGAAGTTGGCAGAAAAAGCAGCATCGAGGGTTTTACCACCTCCTCTTTTTGTTACTGTCAGGCTGCATTTGTTTATTTGCCTTGTGATTCATTCTCATTACTATTTCCTTGTCCTTTGCTACTTTTTGAGAAGTTACACACCAAATATTTTAGGAACGAGGTCAGGAGAGGCAAACCTGTTCTTCCAGCAAATATGTTAAGGAAATAAAAATATTATTTCTAGGGTGACTGAAACAGATCAAGAGCGGCCAAGTTAGTTCCTATTCACTAGCATTTTATTTCTATGGACTTGTACAGGTCCCAAACACCTCAAGCACCAGGAAAGACCACTGCCTATCCTGCAGCAGGCAGGCTCAGAGAAACTGAAATGCGAGAAATGTAGGGAACAGAGAAGAGAAAGTGAGGGTGCTAGGTCAATCAATACAAGAAAAGTTGCCCATTGCTAATAACGTGAGCCAGGCCCAGACCTGCACACCAGATGTGCATGTATGCACAGCACAGGGACAGATACGTTTATAAAATGCTGGTGACAAGCAGTTTTTCTTGGAGCCAAGCTGTTTGGTCTTGACCCCTAGAACACTTTCAAAAGGAACGCAGCCCAGAGGCTGGACAGAAAAAGATACAATTGTACAAAGCTGTGTTAAGGGTGATTTGTTGCAATAAGGTTGAGAGAGAACAAGGTGCTCTCCATACCCCAGCTTCAGTGTTATCCCTTCCTTCCCCCCACTGCAACTCTGAGGTTAGCTTTGAGCCTCTCAACTTTTCATTTTGTTCTTCTGAGACTCAACAACAGGAACTCCAGTTTTTACATGAGAATCACTTCAATAAAGAATGCAATGAAGTCCATTTATGATAAATCTGATTATGTGTGAAAACTGAGCAGTGCTATCTAGAAGCTATAAAAGACAGGAAACAACAGCAAAGGTACCTTTTCCAAGGCAGGCTGATGATTTTGGGAAATGACTCATTTCGGGAGGTGCCAGGGGTGGAAACCAGGAGTGCCACACATGCTTTTTCTGCCTGGTCAGCTGTTGCTGCTTCCCCAGATGACAGCCTTGCTCTTTCTAGTGTGTGTAGAAACCAGGGTGCAGTAGGGGTCCTTGGCTGCCCTTTCACAGAAAAGACAAATGAGCTGCATGCAGAGTATCCCACCAAACTTAGGTCTCTAGGGAACAATCAAGGCTCATCCAATCTATTCACTATTCATAGGCTTAGTCCAGTTCCTATTGACAATTTCTGGTCCTACAGAACACCCTTATTGGGGAGATGTATATTTTCACAACTAAAAACAAAGAAAAAAAAAGATTAAAGGTGTAAAACATTCATAATTTCCATAGTTTGGCAACCTGTCACAATATTCCAGCAAAATCTGTTAATTCAGAACCAATGGAGATGGTGGAATTTGTTCATTTTCTTAAGCAGGTTCACTTTCTCCTGGAGAAAACACCTCTAAAGCATCCCACATTAAAACATTTAGCTATATGATGCCCTCTACTTGTCAAAGTAAGAATTACATATTAGTTTAAAAATTGGTATCATCATTCCGTTTTTTAAATTGAAAATTGCCTAAAAACACTGATATAAATAACAAAAATAACTGGACAAGTTAAAATACAAAAGCAAAAGTAAGATTTAAGTTTAGGAATAAATTAATAAATAGAAAAGCAAGCAAGAGACAAAAACATGTGCCTTACCTCATCCCTACAACTTTCATCTCAGTCCTGAAAACATACATATGCATTATGTCATCTTTGTGCAAATTATTTTGCTCTGAAAAAATCCCACTGTATAAACAGAAGCCTGGCCAGTAAAACACCCCACATCTCTTTTTTACGTTTAGCTCAGCACAGGAGACCCAGTTCTGGGCATATTACAGAAAGAAAGCTGTGAACTGACTGGTGACAGTCCACATGACAACACAGAGAAGAATGAGAAAGGAGTCAGAAAACATGGAACAGGGACTTTGGTTTGTTTAATCTAAAGAACAGGAGACTGAGAGGAGTCATGACAAGTTTTCAAACATGTAAATGCTAGTTGCACATAAAGCGAAAATAACATTCTCCATGTCCACTGTGGATAGAGTTAACTTGCTGCAAGAAAGATTCAAATCAGGCATAAGAGAAAACTTTCCGTTAATGTTAGCAAGCACTGGTGTTGTCTCAGAGTTCAGTGCCTGCTGTGCAATAAGCCAATATGACACAGGGAGCCAAGATAATGTTTTTATTTCTATATTGCTCAATACCAGGTGCTAGGTAGTCAGTCCACAAAGCCAGCACCGCTAGGTACTTTTCATGATAGTTTATATACTTCACTTAACTCCAACCTCGTTACAGCCTCCTCATACCTGATTGGGCAACTAATCAGCATATTGGTTATATAACATTTCTAAACTATGTGTGCTCTGATGGGAAGGGTCTTGATGCTGGTGGGTGTGACTTTTAGCATTATATTAAAATGAAGATTTGGATGGCGCTAATCACTAATTTGGCTGACTACTCCAAACATACTGATTAAGCACACATTTAGTTTACATTTTCCAGGATGTTCCCATCCTCAAGGATAAACCTAACAATCCTTAAGTGATTAAAAGTTCCTCCTGACAGTCCCAAGGACAGTCACCCTAGCCTAGACAGAGTACACACTTGTTACAGTATCTCTAACGTGAGTTGCCACACTGGCATTGCCAGGTGAACGCTCCAGCGCCTGAGCTCTGTACAGACAGGTGAGGCATGCACCTCTCACAAATGAGGCAACTAGAGCGGATTCTGCTGGAAGGCAGACGGACAGACCAGCTGAACTCCCCTGGTTCCTCTTCTGCCTCCCCCTTCCACCGCTCACGCCAGCAGAGACTCCCAGCAGCCCATCCGGACACACCTGAGATTTTCCAGCTCTAAAGGCTGCGCTGCCACCCATTTCACGCACTCCTTCAGAGCCACAACGGCTGGGAACTCATCTGGGAATCTTATTTAAGCGCCGTGGAAAACCCTGGTACAACCACAGGCCTCCCC